CAAGAATTGTGTCTCTCAGTTTTTTTCTTTCCCCACAAACACTGCACTTTTGGTTTTTAACCTTTTCTCCCAAGTGATGTGTTTTTCAGAAACAGCAAAAATGCTGTTTTTCTCTGAACTCTGTAATTTATCAATACCTTTAATATTCTGGTACGTACATTGAACATGTCCTCAAGTGTGGTCTCAGGAAAAACATGAACATGAGCATTTTTATTTCCCAACAGTAGGAAGTGATTTGTAAAAAAATAAAAGTTGCAACCACTCTTTAAATAAAGAATGATTCTTCCCAGTGCTACAGAGCCTTCAGAAACAAAAATCAAACACAAAAAAATATTCCTTACACTGGTAATGCACTTGCTACTGTAATAAAACTATGAACACATGCTGCAGAAATGAGGAACTGTCCTTATTAGACATCAGTACCATGCCTAGAGCACACAGCCTGCACTGGCTGCTCTCCTACACCATTTTGTGTGGGAAATAAGCACAGAGGGCCCCATGGGCAATCCCATCCTGCTGCCACAGCTGCCTGCCACTGTGTACAACTACATCTGTGTCTGCTCTCTGCTTCTTGCCTTGATCCATCTAATGAAGCTCCAAGTGAAGCATGAATATTGCACGTGCAACATGCAGTAACAAAAAAATATCACAGCAGAGATTTAGAAGTTCATTAAATGACTGAAGAATACTGTGCAGGAGTTAGAAAACAGCTCTTGAAGACTTCAGCAACACCATCAGTAAGTTGTTTCTACACATGAAATGCTAAATGAATATTCCCCAAAAGACACTCTGTAGACACACAGACTAAACAGGAAAATATTTTAAACCTCTCTTGTTCTACAGGGAACTCGTGAGAGGGAGATATTCTGACATTGTTTCTGCTTGTTCCCTGACTGTGGGTTTTCCCATCTCTTCCTTTCAAATGAAATGATATGTTATGTATTTCTTCTGGCAGGCTGCTTTTAGCATTCTGCTGTGGTCTAACACACCCAGCAGAGTTAAGTTACTGAAGGGCTCAATTCCCCCACAGCACTGTGCAGCTCCTTGGAAGCGTTCCCCTGGTTTCAGCTCATTTCTACCTTCCCCTTGCTGTCCACAAGGGAGGAGCTGGGCATTTCCCGTCAATGCCTGGAGGTCTCCAGCCTCCGCTCTGCTTCATGCTCAGGATGAATGACACCAAGGAGGCACACCCCCTCTCTGTCCACAGAATGGCAGAGTGAAAAACTAATCCATCCAAGGTGTTTAATACAAACAGGACTAACAACAGATGAAAGGAATCCCAGATTTGCCGACTCTCCTCTTTCAGTCTGCTCAGTCTGTACCTTCTTAGGCTGCCTGCAGGCATTTGGTTGGGTTTGTTTTCTCATTTAATAGCTGAGACAAATGCTTCTATTACAAACAGTTAGAAAGGCATCTGGATCAGTCACTTACAATGCCAAGCCTCAATTAGGATGGACTGCAAACTGGGGGGGGCAGCAAGTACCTCCTCCTACATTTAAATTCAGAAGGTTCTGTGACCCCTTCTTAGGGCACTACCATACTGCCAGCACAGCCTTTCAGCTACCTCAACGAGAAACACACATAGGAAAATCCAGAGCTCCACAATGCAAATATTGCTTTTAATTTAGTCATAAACATAAAACAGGCACAGAGAACACTGTTGTGATTCACTCATTTCCAAAGCAAACACAGATTTCCTATTTAAGGAACAGCAGATTTCTGGGGCCCTCAATTAAAATTACTTGTTTGAAATTGAAATGAAGCAGCCAAAGCTCAGAAATTACAGATTACAAGTTCCTCCTCTAGCCCTTTTCTCCCCCTTGTGGGAAACCATTCAGTACAATGAAAGGAATTAGGGTCCCCTGTAAAAAACAGTGCATGACCAGACAACTAAAAATAGGAATGCAGGGTGCCCAAAGCAGAGTCTGGTGCTTAATAGCTGCCACTTGACTTTGTAAACCATCAGCTTCTTCCAGGGCAGTTCCATACACTTTCTCACTTCTGCAGAAAAAAATCCTACTGTATTCAGTATTCAGGCTGTATTCACCAGCCCTTTGCAAGATTTGGAATGGGGAAGAACATGCCCAGTCCACACAGGAGATGTCTCTTGGTGCTGCTTGATGGAAGCCTGCTCTACCTTCCTGCCCCTGCTGGCAGCAATCTGTTCAAGGGAAGGAGCAAAGAATGCCTCCCAAGGCAGAATTTCAGTCTCAGCTTTCACACAACTTCCTTTCAACAGCTTTGGTTCATCCCCTTATGAACTTCTGCATTCAGGTCAGCCTCTCTGGCTCCTTTTACTCAGACTAGTGCCTGAGTGTCCAGGCATCACTGTGGCCTGCAGCCCCACCAGAGCAGCCCAGCTCCTTGCTGGCAGAAGGACCAAACCACGGACAGGAAGGGCACAGTTCTGCAGCACAGTTTATCTGAAGCACACCAGCCCTCATGGGTTACCTGGAAACACAAACAACCCCTCTGGTGGCAGCACATCACCCCAGGAAGTCTCCACTGGGCACACAGCAGATTACCTGCTCATACTTTGGTGTCCATGAGGCTTTTGTTACAGTTTCCATCAGATCCAGTGCTTGGTTCCCCTCTGGGCTCCTTTGCTTCTACCACTCCATCCTTAAGCAGGCTTGTAATTTGTGTGATTTCTCTGGCACTCATTCCACACAGTCCAGTGGGGTTCAGCTCTCACAGGGAATATGTAGCACATGCTACATGTTTGAGCAGGTTTTATCTCAGGTAAGTTCCTTTATTCAACCCTACACAGCTTCTCTGTTCCAGGCCAAACAACGGAATAGCAACACACACTCCTAGTTTCTGTTCCCATAACAACTCCTCTAACCACACACTCTGAAGACCAGAGAAAACTTCCTTACATACCACGTCTGTAAGGACACAAAATAACCACAAATTTTGTCTTATTCTTGAAATAGGATTATCCAGTGGGTTCAGAGAAAAGGGAGAGTCCATTTTTCTCCTATTTCCTACTACTTCCTCTTCTAGTATTGAGCAGTCTCTTCCCCTAGTGATACTTTGAGGGTAAGGAGGCATAGGGGACTAGATTTGTACTGAGGATGAGATAATCTAGGTGAAATCATCATTTCTCCCCCCCCTCTCCACCCCCAGTAACTGGCATTACTTTCCAGTTCCGTTTGCTGCTGCTTTCTTGGTCCAGACCCATCCAAGACTCAGGTAAGAAAGAGGTGCTGCTTTGCAGGATGCCAGCCTCCCCATGAGGAGTGCAAGAAAGACTGGGAAAAAGGATTTTCCTCTTGAGAACTCAGCTGGCTGTCAACAGCAGTCTGTGAAAGACATGAGAGCTTGTGGGGCTGAGCCCCAGCTGAATTTAAAGACCTGTTGCAGCTGGCAGACATGCTGGGTCTACTCACAAAGTAAAACAGTATTAACTACAGTTAATTAATACTGAACAGCATTAGGCAATCTGCATGGAAAGGTCAATTTTCAGATATATTTAATTACTTAAACTGTGATTTTAGGGAATACAGAGATACCTCGACAGGTGGCACACTGCAATTTTTGAGTTCTGCTCTCAGATCCAAGTGCCAAATGGCATTTGCTGGCTGTGAATGATCCTGGCTCAACGTCAAAGAAAGTCTTCCCAAACCACTTTGCAACTATCCAGTTGTTCCCCACTCAACTTCCAGTTCATTATGCCTGTCTGCTAGGCCCTGATCTTTTTATCCAGCTAGCACATGGCTTGAGCATCCTCTCATATGCTTTCATCTGTTTCCAACACTGACGTTACTTCTACTGCCTGGCCATGGTGATGATAGAGAGGGACCCCCAGTAAGGGACAACTGCACAAGGAAAAAGAAAAACCACCTCACAAAACTCCTGCAATTTAACTGGGAAGGAGATTTCTTTCTTCTGATTCTTTCAAGTCCCACACTGAACTATTTTAACACAAAAATGATCAGCAAAGATAAATTCTAGAAGTTAGACTGCAAGTACTTATCCCTGCCACAGCAGCATCACTGCTCACCTGGGGGACACCGAAGGAGAAGATGAATACAAGAATACTTGCACAGATCTCTTGGAAGTTGAAGTAAGCCTAAGAACCACATGTGCATGACTATGTATTCCTCAACAATCATCATAAACAACAAGAAATTATAAGGTGATAAACAAATGATCTTCCTTTGCAGTTGTTTTTCCTCACAATTTGCACTTGTTCTGAATAGGCATCTCATGAGGTACTACAATACCAAGCTGTTTCAGGCATTTACTGTTTTCTTGCCACATAAATTTGCTGAGGACACAAGAGTGTTATCTTCATCCCCACTACACAAGAAGGAAAGTGAACATAAAGCATTCACCACAACCTGTTCAACATCCTACATGGAGTCTGTCACAGAGTCAAGACTTGAGCCCACACATGTTATTTCCTAGTCTAATCCTCCCACACTTAAGTGCATTCAAAGAGCCAGTCTGTCACTTATTTTCTCACACTCAACCTTGTTGAAAAGTCACCTTGATTAGACTCTGCTGTTCTAGTGTGACAGAGACCATTCCAGCACTGGTTTCTTGCATAGTTTGACATAGGATATTTTCCATGGAAAAAGTCTTACTTTGGTTTTGGCTCTTTTGTTTGTTTGTTTCTCAAAGACAAGGTGTTTCAGGTTGAAAAATTTTAAGAACAACTCCAATTTTCCTAGTTAGGGAGGAAAATAAATAATCTGAGAAAGTAACTAAGCATTACTCAAAAGATCTGTGAACCAAGCAAACCACTCAACAAGCCTTCTTTCTGGAAGTCTTATGATGCTGCAGAACATGGCTCCAAATTTCTTAACATCTACATTTCAAAACAATATTCATATAATGACACAAAGAAGTACCAAGCTTTCAGGCAGACAAAGATCTGTAGAAAGAGAAAGGTCCTCAAACTCTAGGTCCTACTGTAGAATTGTGATAGATTAAAAAGACAGACAGGATTTATTGCTGGTTTTGTTGCTATTTAAATCATCACGGATCCTTACCTCGAAATTCGAGCCCTCTGAGCTGAAAGGTGACAAGGCCATTTCCAATTTCAATCAAATGCACAAAGGCATTTAAATAATCTGATGCCAGAATAAAACAGTCTCCTGTGTTGTAGTTTCCCCAGCGGCCCAGGATCAAATCTCCACAAAGAGACTCCTGCAGAGATCTTGTCAGATGCTCGTAAAAAATGGAGTTGAGATTATTGTCATCATTTCCTACAACCAGAGCAGCACACATTTGCAAAAAAAAATAAAATTATACAAAGTCATTCTGCATTACATTTTATGTTCTTTTTCATTCCTACTTAAATCTGCTTCCTCTAGCTAGATGATATCTTCCTGATACTTTACGCAATCTACATTTCTCAGGTAGTCCTTCAAAAAATCAGGTTAATATGAGCAATATTGTAGATAGAAGATCACATTAGTAATAACACATATTTCAGATTTAATCAAATAACCTCCATGATTTACAACAGTAAGAATTTCTTCACGCCACTAAAAATCTCTGCAATGCTAAGTTAATGTCTATATACTATTCTTAATGTAAAGAAACAAAAAAATCGTTATTACTTTACATCATTATAACTACTTTACATGTAGTTAAATTTGAATGTTTTTTCAGAGATTTTCAAATACTTTGGTCATACAGACACTAATAATTTTGTTGGGATTTTTTTCCTTCCAGTCCTCCAGGAATTTTTCAAGGCTTTGTCCACAAATAATCTGTTAGTACTCAAGATGAGGATACTCATTTTAAAAGATTTTACTGAGTATACTGAGCAAGCATCAAACATGCATCACCAGAATTGCTACCAATTTAAAAATAGTAGCTGTTCACTTACATATGGCTTGGACCAAATGCCCAGGTGAACAACACCTCATCACAATCTAGAAGTGTAATCTCTTAAAGGTCTATGGCCTTTAACTGGATGAAAAGGAGCACTTTATGATGGTAATTTGTGAAAGGTACTGAACCCTTCACAAATACTACCATGGTGCCACACAATCCAACACGGTGTTGCCCTGTGCTTGTACTCTTTAATACAATATAGGCTTGACAATAGAACTGCTTTTCTCTTCTGTAGTGCATCAGTGTCCCACCTTCAATACTCTTAAAATGCTGGTGCACAAATACATGTGCAAACCAACATTTTGTAGGTGTATCTGTATGCATGGGAGTGTATGTGGATACTGACATACAGGCAGTCATGCATTTTTTTGTTTGCACAAATTTAGGAGGAGATCCTACATGGAGAAGAAAAAACCCATAAGATGAGGCTTGCAGAGGCTATGGCTTCCCCTACAAATTGCTCCTTGACACCAGAGGAGGGGAGGGCCTGCAACTACACTGCTTTTTGAGCCCATAGCCATTACACACCCAGCCCTGGTATGGCTGTCTGTGTGTGCCCATATCCATGCAGACACACTCGCCTGTGCACCTTCTGCAGTATATTTGGTCAAAATTTAAGCAAGTAATAAAATGAGTCTTTTAAGCACATACACAAAAGAAATGTGTTTCTTGTGCTACAGGGTTTAAAACATAATTCACTTATTAGCATATATAATAATCCTAAAGGTCAGTGCTATCAGATGACAAAATAGCCTTAGGAATTAGCTCCCTGCATTAAATGAGAAATAATTAAAAACCACCACTTGTGCTTCAAACTATTAATATCCCTCTTGCCTTCTTGGACACCCTGGATTACATAAATTTCTGGTTGAAGACATGTATTTATTCATGTTACTGATGTAATGGATACAGACAAAAAGGATGGGGTGTAAACCAGCAATAATTAAAATGTAAATGTCCAACTTCACAATACCACCCCTGCCATCTCAGAGACAAGATAAAATTGGCCACAGAACACATATATGGAACCTTGGAAGAACACATATATGAAACCTTGGTCTCTCTCATTGGGATGGGATTTCAGCACGAGACACTGGTATCAGTTCCCCCCAAAAAGGGCTCTGTCCCACTAGGCACTGAAGAGTGCCAGCTGAGGTACCACATGTTCTCTGTGCCCACTGATGTGCCAAAAACTGCTCTCACTTCCCAGTCTCACTGGCCTGGGAAGTTGCTTTGCATGGCCATGGATTGGTGCTCTTTTACCGCACTGATACCCAGCAGAGCAGCCCACCATCCTTCCTACTTCTTCCTCTTGCAAGTTTTCCAACTTCTCTTCTCCCCCCTCTCAGAAAGGTTTCTCTCCAGGCAAGAGGAGATACCTGTTGGCCCAAACTGCTCAGTGGTAGGGCCACCACTAACTTGCTGCTTTTTTCCCAAAAAACAGCTGCCTGCCCACAGCTGACCTCTGAGTCTAGCTAGGGTGCCTGATGCATATTCCAGACAAACATCAATATTATAATTAACCAGGCAATTGGCAGCCCAGAAGCTCTCTGTCTGATCAGCTACACATAACTGAGCAGTAAATTTACTCATCACACAACTCAAACTGGTGCTCTGCTACGTTTAAAGTGCTCTGGTTTGTACACACAACATTCAAACCTTTGCATCTCTTCAGCTTTCCCAGCAAAGCCTCACCAGTGTAAATACATCACATTTTGCAAATCAAGCAAGAGACCCAAACTCCCAAGCCATACCTGCATCCTTTTCGATTTGAATTGCCAGTCTGGTGTTCGAATGGTCTGATCTTTTGGTGCTGGAAATAAAGACATGTTTACAGCTAGTTCTTTTTTTTTTAAAATAAACAAGTCTCACAATAAACACTTTTTTCCTTTAAAACATCTCTTCATTTTGTGTTGATATAAGTAGGCAGTTCACAGTAATCCGTTCATGAGGCATATACAGTTATTTCAGGTCAGTACTGCTATTGATATTGTAGCTTATCAGCACACTCTTTCTGCCCATTTTCCTTCTTGTGGGGCACAGTCCATTCAGAATTTGGCATCTGACACAAAACTATGTACTTCAATAATTGAACTGGCTCCAGAAATAGATCAGCCAGGTGCCACCAAAACAGTGAATAGAAAGAATATTTAATTAGACTTTCTTTCCTTCTAAGCCTTAAGGGAAACAGCTGGACTCAAGAAGTTTTCTTTGGGTGAAAACATTTCTGTGGGTGTTCACCATCTATAGAAAAACAACAATACCAAAATACTTTACTTAATTTCATATTTAGCTCAGCAGCAACAGGAGAGTCCCTGGTCATTCTTATTGCTTGAAAAAGGGTAAATTAGAGTGCCTTAGTTCATACAGGCACTAACCCTGTCACCCTTATGAATGGCACATTCCCTATTCAGTATTTTCACTGCAGCAGTGGAATATAAACAACACAGAAAAAATTATTACAAAAGAGAAAGCAACTAAAAAGGTAGATTGGATTGAGCTTTTACTACTAACTGTAACAAAAGACACCAATTAAGTCAGAAAATAAGGAATGAGTAAATCAATGTGGGGCAGCATGTGTTAAACAGAAGAGAATGATTGTTGTGGTGAGTAGGGATATTCAACACCAAGTGCAAAGCATCTCCCAAGTAACCAGGGGTACTTGGGATAAAAGTGGAACTCTGACTAATAAAAACGTGATAGTAAACATCAATTTCCCTGAAATACTGCTCTGGCATGGGTATATAAGGATTTCAGGACACTTCATTGAAAATATTGCCTCAAAAGTTTTGCCCTCAATCACTAGCCTTAACAGAAGACCTATCTATCAAATATGATGAATGATCAAATATGTAAATATGATCTCTGATTCCTTGGGAAATGAGATTAGAGCAAAACCAGGAAAAGGCCCAAACAGCAGTCAGCATTTGGTCACGTGTGACAGTGGCAACGGCCCCATGTACAAAGACCTGCAAGCACAGGGGAGGAGAGCCACAGCACCACTTTCCCTGGCATGGGATCCAAGGGAGACACCTGGGGTGTCCCTCATGGTGTCCTTGGTGGAGCTGCAGTGAGACTGGCATGGCTGGGTGGCACTGGCTGGGGTCTGGCTCAGGTGTGGCGAGCACAGGGCCCAGAGGAGGTTTTGAACAGGCTGGGGATTGGCCAGTCAGCCTCCACAGCCTGAATTTAACTACTCACTGTGGAAACTGAAAATGTGCACCAAGGAAGATGGCACCAAAGAGGGATCACTTCTAAGGGAGGTTTTCAAACAACTTAAATAACACTGGAAAAGGATGGTGTAAAGATAGCAGCATCTTTGAAACACAGCAGAGACTCAGTAGTGGTTTCCAGGATTTTGTGTGTAAGTTCATGCTGAATCCAACTGGGAGAAGGATGCCACTGACATGTTACAAAGTCTTTTCATCCACTCCCCACAGCCTCCCCAAAAATGTTGTGGAAAACTGACCAACAGAAAAATTACAAACAATTTTCCATGCAGGAGACAGAAGAGGAGCAGATTTGCTTTATTTCTACTTCCTACCAAAAGAAAGTGATTTCTTTTTCTTAAAAAGGCACGTTCTCTACTTTGCAAAAAGTATGATTGAGAAAATAAGAGTGTTAATTAAAATTATTTGTAATTAATATTAGTATATTATCTACATAGATTAACATTTTATTGGAGGTATTATTTTTCTTCCTGTTTCTGGTTGGCCTAGCTCATTGCAACTGCAATTATCATTTCCTATTCAACAGAAAATGACACTGGAGGGGTGCCTTCTAAGCAGTTCAGAATATAAAGAATCATTTTACTTTAAAAAGGTTGTCAAAATTCTTTCACCCTGATATATATCCACCTGCATATGCAAGAGTAAGCATAAACATCAGGTTTGGAATTCAATCAATTTTCTATTCTCAGCAGAGAAGCACTGCTGATTTCCAAATGCATATGTTTTAAGATTATGAGATGCTTTATTAACTTTCAGTGCCTCTGAAATCAGTGTGGTAGTGTAAGGTAAAAGTTAATACTATTCTTTACCCCAGTTTCTTACCATTTCTGGTGTGGAGGCTTTTTGAGACCCATAAAATCAACCAATACTTCAGAAAATTCTAATCTATAATAAACAGGAATCCTTTTGCCCAGCATGCAGCTCTGGGTCTACTTCTTTCCCCTCCCCCTCTAATTTTTACTTTTGACAGAAAGATGCATGAAACAATCAGGGAAAATCACAAGTGCTTTGGGACACAACAATTCAAATGATGCAGCCTGACTGGGAAGAAGGGAAGGAAATAGAACAGCTCTCACAAACAAAAAACCCAAACAAAACAAAATAAAACCAGGCCCCATTAAGGCTTTATTTGAGCAGCTAAAATATGAGCCCTGGGACATGAGACAAGAATTTACCTTTTCAGACACAACTAGAACCTAAATCTTTATACAGCTATTATGAGGCATAATTTTATTTCATTTTTTTAAGACCAAAAGTAATATAAGCAGTTTATAAAGCAAACTCAGTGCTGAAATTCAGCTTAGTTGAATAAATGCTGTCCAGTAATCAATTCTGGGTTTTAAAAGTCTTCTACAATTATTAGTAACCAAAGCTGTGTTGGTATCTTCTTGAAAGCAATGGGAATTTGCACTGGATTAAACTATAATCCACTACACCTAACAATCAAATCAGCAACACCTTTACTTCTCAACCAGGACCTCTCACTGTGAACTTTTGGGATTAGTAGGTGATTTGGGCTTTCCTCCAGTGGCCTCTTACTTTATATTTGTTGTTACCACTCAACCAATGTGATAATTATCTCAGTAATTGAATTTCTTCCTGAATTGCATTATTCTGTGCAAACCAAGCAGAGTTCCTCCAGCAATTACTCTAGAGAAAAAGTAATTGTGTTGGACTGTCTTCAGCTGAGTCTTCAGCAATTTCAAAGCCAACATCCTTCTTAGTTCCTGAAATATCTATCTCATGCTCTTTTAATTCCACATTTACATGGACACTGAGGTAGCCCACTGGTTTGTGCAGCACTGCTCATGTCATTAAAACTATTGCTTCCTTTTGCAAAAAAATTAGGTCACTTCCTATACTCCCAAACATATTGCCCGGAAAGAATTTCTTCTCCCACTTAGTTTCCCTATTTCCTTAGAAAGATAGAAAAAGGCTGAGGGGGATCAAGGAAGTCTGGGGAATATACAGAGTATATTGAGAATCAGGTAAATTGAGGAAAATAAATAAATCATTGCTGATTTGATGATGCTAAATAAATCATTATTTCTAGAAGATCAAAATGAAATTCCAGCTGTTCTATCTGCCCTGCTGCTGCTGAGTTTTCCCCCAAAACACAAATTCAAGATTTCCAGGATTCCTGCTGTGTAGAAGATCTCTACTTTGAAAGAGAATAAAACAAAGAAAAGCAGTTTCCCTCTGGGAGATGCAGAGATGCCTTTCTAGGGTTGATCCAAAGTTTTTCTTTGTTTGTGTCCAATGAATTTTAATCCACACTTCGATGACATCTAACAGGCAAATTTAAAAGAGAGAAACTACATGCTGCAGCCCTATGATTATTCATGGGAATCTGGAAAAAAAACTTCGGTATTTTCATGTGCATGCCTAATGCTGCTGGATCTATAAACAAAGGCTTAGCATTAAAAACACAGTAGCAGTTGTCTACAATGTGAGGCAGGAGGGGAATGGCATGGCAGAATAAGCAGGCACCCATCAGTATTTGAAGGACACCAGAGGTAAAAAAGAATGGTATTAATTGGAAGGGAAAGGATACTGAAGTAGTTTAATATCAATTTCATCTAAAGGACAGAATGATTTCAGTGTGGTTTTAACAGCAAGGGCTGACAGCCCCTTCGTGCGTGACCCTGCCCAAATTTTCTGCAGCTGCATGGAACATACACTTGGGTTTAACCCACATTAAGAAAGAGGGATCTCTTAAAAATGAAAGCAATTTTTCCCTCCTGATCATTCACTCTGATTTTTATGCTTTCTTGCTTCTCTCCTTCCCTGACTGGGCCATTGTTTCATCTAACAACAATAAAAATAACAACAATAAAAAGTGGCTTTGGTTGCATGCAAGGAAACCGGGGGAGGGCTAAGGTATGAATAGTCCCAGCTGTTAAAGAGAGCTCTGTTGAAGCATCCTTCTAAGACACAGAAAGGTCTTATTATCAATAACACTTCCTGTTCTTAGAGCTTCTTTACTATCTTAAAAAGGTTTTTATAACTGATTTTGAGGCTTCTTGGGTTTGTTTGGGTTGTTTGTTTATTTGAATTTTTTCTGATGTTTTGGTTTGGTTTTGTTGTTGTTTGTTTAAGTGGGTGTTAAAACCAGAGTCATCTGCTGAGATCACTCAGTTTATTTGGCATATTCCAACACCTGTCTGGAAGATTCTGTACTTCTACAGAAAGGGGGATGAAAAAGTGAGGTGTAAACTCAAGATCAAAAGCTGAGTGCCCAAACATAGGTTAAACAGCCCACCTTAGTGCTCTGACATTCAAAAGCTTAGCTGAGGAATTCACCTCTTATTTGTAAGCCAGGTGATTTATGCATCTGTGTACTTTAAAATACTCACTAATGCTTTACTAAAATGTCATCAATATTCCTGCTTTTGTCTTATTTAATTTCATTCCCCTTGTCTAAGTGTGCTTTTTATTTTAAAAGACATTCAATTACTGTCTTCAGATTATTTTTTACTATGCAATAGCAGAAGCTTTATGAGTGAAATGATAATGCAACTGTGCAGAGGTTTTTTGCATGCACTCCTGAGGATGTAAAAAAGGTCAGGATCCTAACATTGCT